AGGACATGCTCTAGGTTTCGAAGGATGGGGAGGAGGGGAGGGTGCGCGGTCTGCATAACCAGGGCTTGTGTGATTGCCACTTTCCAGACTGCCGGGTACAGTCTTGAGCAGAAGAGAGAGAGAGAGGAAAAGAGAGAGAGTAAAGGACAGAGAGTGTGAGTGAGACAGGGCACGAAAAGCGGCGCTCAGAAAAACAAGCAGTTTGTCTTGGGGGTGGGAGAAAAAAAAAAAGAGGCAGAAACACCGCATCGACAGCGAACCCGACAGTTTGGTAAATTGCGCAAAGCAGGCGAGCAGCACGCTCCTTTTTCAGAGACCATTGCCGCTCCGTCGTCCGATGGCTGCATTGCTAGGGTAGAAAAGCTTTCAATGCTCATACATGGTACCCCGTTGCTCCAGTCGTTCCCTTGGTTGCTTGTGAATTTTCTCCAGTTGTTGCTGGCGCCTCTGCCCCCTTCCCCCCCCCCCCTCTCTCTCGCCCTGCCTTACCTGCCTACCCTGAGGTACCCTGACTTAGAGCCACCTCCCCTGTGTGCCCGCTTTCCGAGAGTACATGTAGATGCTGGGTTCACACGTACGCGAGCGGTTTTGGGAAGGTGACAAGGTGTTTATGCTCTCCCCCTTTCCGCCTTTCCGGTCACCCTTGCCTACACTCCCCCTCAAGTCCACTTGATCATGGCTCGTTAACAAAGTGCATCACGCTACCCGAGATGCCAATGTACCCAGCATCGGGCATTCGAGTCCTGGTCTGGAAGCGACTGGACCGCCTCGCTTCACCTCAGTCGCCGTCTATCTAGCCAGGGGGTGGGCTCCGACGCTATTCCCTGGTCTGGCGCGAGGGTCAAAGGCCAGCGAGTACAGGGAGAGAAAGGAGCATGTGTTGTGCCTGGAACAAGTGCCCCGTAGTTGGCAGCTCGCGCTGTGACGTGACTTCCCGGGCAGGGCATCATGTCATGCCGGTCAGTCTCGTCGATTGCTTCCGCGGAGCGTGTGAGGGCGTCTCGATGCATGTGGAGCCGTTGGTTTCAGCACGAGAAGGGGACAAGTTGGAAGGATTCCCGGGAAGAAGAGAGAATCGGGCCTTGTACAGGACATTGGTCAATAAGCTAACGCACAAGACTGGGAGGCGAATCAAGAGTCAGAGCATTGAGCGTCATGGCAAGGTCAGAGCCAGAGAGGACGAGGAGCAGGGAGAGCAAGGAGAGCGACGCTGGAGAGACGGTCACACACACACACACAGAGAGAGAGAGAGAGAGAGGGAGAGAGAGAGAGAGCGAGAGAGAGCGCGAGAGACCTGGCGCGGCCCCCATTCTAACACTGACTGGTTGAAACGATGTGACTGGTAAATTCTCCTTTGCAGCGGCTAAGCCACCATGTGCTGCCTATTCTGTCGCTGCCTTCTTGTTTGATTTTGCCTCGTCGAGTCGAGCCATGCAGGCCGAGCAGCCAGCAGCCAGTCATCTCGCGGTCCAAGTCGTCGGGACCGGACATGGCCGAATCAGCACTGAGAGAGGGAGGGAGGGAGGGGGCGGGGACGGGGGGCGGACAGACGGGTGTTGCTTTCGGCTGTGCGCATGGGAGCGCGCGTGCTGCTTGCTTGCGGCTGTGGCGGATGGAGGTGCATGCCGCAGGACGAGGCCAGGCTCTGCACGGCTGCCGAGCCATGCAAGCCGTCCTGGCGTGTAGATAGGAACAACTCACGCGATTTGGCCATGTGCATTGCATATAAGTGCGTGTGCCTCTATTCATAGATGTTCGGCGTTATGCCTTTGGTGCCCAAAGTTGGCCTCAGTCCATACAAATACATACAATAATCACGGCCTGACTCAAGAGCTTTGATGTACATACATGCAGGTGTTACCTTCGTACATGATTGAGGGCGGGTACGTCTGTGCAACATGATAGCATACAGACATCTAGAAATACAGATATCTGGAAGGACAGACATCTGGAAATACAGACACCGAGATGTACAGACATCTGGAAGTACAGACACCGAGATGTACAGACATCTGGAAGTACAGACACCGAGATGTACAGTTTGCTATGTCCTTTACCTCAATTAGCAATTTGTATTCTCTGCCACTCAGCTATCGACCATGCAAAGTACTGAGGCTAAATTCAGTCGCCAAAGCGATAGATGTTCAGCTCTTTAGTGGGTATCTTGGATGAGGGCGTAACTTTTCCGATTTCCTGTCTCGCCGTCTTGCGGTCTATCTTTGTGTGTCTCGCTCTGTCTCTCTGTCTCCGTCTGACTTGAGATTTTCAGGGTCTGTCTCTCTACAGTGTTCTCAATCTCGTGGTTTGAGATCGTTCATAAATATAGTGACACACTTGATCTACTTGTCCTTGCTTTACCTGAGGTCGATGGGTTGATGAGCCGCAGAACGTGCTCAGATGTTGTCTCGGCTGGCTTTTGAACCGGGTGCACTGAAAGTATAATCCGCAGGATTGGCATCTCGTACAACGGCGGTCGCGGAATTCCTGATTTGTCGTCGGTCCTTCTTTGCGAGATGTGATAAGTGCCAGTTTCGTTTTTCTACCGTCTGGTTTTCTTCGGCAGTGGCAATACAGGAATTTTTATGATGGTCTCGAACGAGGTTGGGGGAACAGGGCTTGAAGACGACAAGGCGATAGCGTCTAACGTAGTCCCATTCCATGCACACAAGACGCCACGACGCCAGGCTAAACCACACAGAAACGAACAGAGGCAGCCAAACTCATGAGAAAGTATGGCAGCCATGTGGCCAAGGCGAAGGAGGACCAACGAGCTCTGACATCGCGGAGCCGACATGCTGTGTAACGCGACCCGAAACATCAACCACGAATCTTTCGTAGGCTAAGCCCCCCCCCCCCGCCGCCCATGTCGTGCCCCCGCGCACCCATAATCGATCTTAAGGCTGAAATGCACACTGCTGCCCAGCATTGGCAAGAGTCATTGACGGGGTGGGAACAGTGTGAGCGACTGAGCGTGACCAGAGTCAAGGCCGGGGTGTCTGTCTCTGCTGCGCCCGGCCTGTTCTGCGACCTATGAGCAAAGCCTCGCATCGAGAATAGGGCCAATCCCCCAGATCCTCCCCTCCTTCCATATCGTGCGCAGACTGGACGGAGAGGCTTAGCCAGCCCGTCTGTGAACAGGCAGCCTTTCACCCAATGGCAATATCATGGCACCATTATGCTCGGCCAGCGCCCGCATGACCATTTGGGTGTAACGATGAGAGCATACCACCCTCCACCATCCGTGGCCTGGCAAGGCGGGGGAACGGCCCCGGCATGCCATGGGGGCCGGAGTGGAAAATAGAGACGGTGGGCGAAAAGGGTAAAACTACGGCAGCAGAGACAGGAGGCAATCAATCACCTTTCCTTGGCTTCGGCTGGCGATCGGATATATCATCACGACCACCGAACGAACCATGGGCAAGCTTCCGCGGCGCTTGATCCAATCCAGGGGGGGGGGGGGGTCTTGCTACGATTTAGCCGCGAGCTCGGCAATCCTTGAATGTACCGGTACTTCCTGGCAGAAGACAGGGACAAAAAGCACGCCCTCTCCCCCGGATCAAGGCTTAGCAAACCTTTTGAGATTATGTCAAGGCATCCGTGGTCGATCACAAGCGAACGGGAATAGACCAAAAAAAAAAAGAAAAAAAGTGTGACGATGAGAAGTTGGAATTGGAAATTGGCATGAGAGGTCCGAGTGGAGATGCTGAGGTACCTTGGGGCAGCTCGGGCACCTCAACTGGGATCCCCTGCGAGAACACAATCGGCCGGGGAACGTGGACCATCGCCGGTGAGCCTTGACAGGTTCAGGGCAGAGCACTGGCCACTTACAGGGCTCTTTCGGGGATGCCACGCCCCAGGTGTGTTGTGTCGTGCTTGTAGCTAGGTAGGGGGGGGGGGGGTGCTTTCGGTGCTTCGGTGAGAGTATCCGGCGAGGATTGAGAGTCGGTGGGCCTTAGTGAGCCTCAGAATTAAGGCTCCCATTTCTGCTCCCTCGTCTCTCTGCTGAGGTAAGCAAAACAGGAAAGGTTGATGAGCACCAGCCACAGAAGCTCCATGCGCCACGTCGCGAATGAGTGTCGCGTGGCTCGCCAAGATGACAGCATCCCACTTCAGAGTGCCATATTCAACGGGCTTCAGTCCTGACGCTACCTCGACATTGGCCGCCCCTACGCTGCTTCTTTCTAGCCCCGGAGACACCCAAATCCCTCATGAGGATTCCTTGCTGAAGCTGCCGCCGATTCCTGGAGTTCGGGAACCTGCCGGCGGCGTGGCGTGTGGGCGCATTCATGGGAACCTGTGAATAGTTCTCCCACCTTCTTCGACGGAGCACCGGCGCGAGCAATCATGCCGTCGACATTGGCCCTCCTCAGCTGTCTCTTACTGTCCCTGACATGGCCAGCAAGAGTCAAGTCAATGGGTGCGGCCCGCCTGGCGGAGCTCCGGAAATCAACGGTTGAGGTCTTCCAGCATGGCTTCAACAACTACATGCAGCACGCTTTCCCGGAGGACGAGGTTCGAGCCCCACCATCTTTAATCTTCCCCTCGCATGGCCTGGGCTAAACTCTTCCTCGCAGCTACGGCCCGTCTCATGTACGCCTCTTTCCCGCGATCCGGCGAACCCAGGGAACTACGACCTGAACGACGTCCTCGGCAACTACTCCCTTACCCTTCTCGACAGCTTGTCGACCCTCGCCATCCTCGCCGGCACGCCCTCCGACGACCAGACGGCAGAATGGGCTCTCAAAGAGTTCCAGGGCGGGGTAGAAAAGTTTGTGCACTACTACGGGGACGGACGGCGTGGCCCATCGGGCCAGGGTATACGTGCGCGCGGGTTCGACCTCGACAGCAAGGTCCAGGTCTTTGAGACCGTCATCCGAGGGGTGGGCGGCCTTCTGAGCGCCCACCTCTTCGCCGTCGGGGAGCTCCCCATACCTGGCTATGATCCAGAGCATGCAGGGCTGAACGACGACCATGACGACGACTCGGATCTGCTGGAGCTGGCCCCCATCCCGTGGCCGAGCGGCTTCCACTACGACGGCCAGCTCCTGCGACTGGCCCTCGACATGGCAGAACGGCTGCTGCCGGCCTTTTATACGACGACTGGTCTGCCATATCCGCGTGTCAATCTGCGCCATGGCATTCCCTTTTACATCAACTCACCCCTGCATAAGGTTTCGCCCAACGACCCTGACTCGACGCAGAAGTACCCTGAGAAGACGGACACGTGTGCGGCGGGCGCCGGCAGCTTGGTGCTCGAGTTTACCGTCCTCAGCCGCCTCACCGGCGACCAGAGGTTCGAGCATCTAGCCAAACGCGCCTTCTGGGCTGTCTGGAAGGGCAAAAGCGAAATCGGCCTGGTCGGCAACGCCATCGACCCCGAAAGGGGAGACTGGGTCAACTTTGACACGGGCATCGGCGCTGGCGTCGACAGCTTCTTTGAGTATGCTTTGAAGAGTCACATTCTGCTGTCCGGCCACGACCTTCCCAATGTCACCGCGCGCGCGCCGACGACGTCAGACCGTCAGTGGCTCGACCCGAATACGTTGCACACCGAACCTTTGACTCCCGAGGAACACACCGCGGGAGCTTTTCTCGAGGCCTGGCATCAGGCGCATGCGGCTATCAAACGCCACTTGTACAACGACGCTCACCACCCGTACTACATGACAGGTCACAGGACCCGGGGCTACCCTTTCACGGCCTGGATCGACAGTCTGGCGGCATTCTATCCCGGCCTGCTGGCCATGGCTGGCGAGGTTGCGGAGGGTGAGGAGGCGAACCTTCTCTATACTGCACTCTGGACTCGCTATGGTGCCCTGCCAGAGAGATGGTCGGTTCGAGAGAGGCAGGTCGACTCTGGAATCGGCTGGTGGCCCGGGCGACCCGAGTTTATCGAGTCGACATACTATCTGTATCGTGCCACCGGCGACCCGTGGTACCTGCACGTTGGCGAGATGGTCCTTGCGGATATCAATCGTCTCTGCCGGACCAAGTGCGGCTGGTCGGGGCTCCAAAATGTCGACACGGGCGAAAAGGCAGATCGGATGCAGAGCTTCTTCTTGGGTGAAACCACGAAGTATCTTTATGTTCTTTTCGATCCTGAACACCCGCTTAACAAACTCGATGCCGCTTTCGTCTTCAGCACCGAAGCCCATCCGCTCATCATTCCGGGGCAGCGAGCTTCGAGGCGCGGTCAGAAAACAAGAAAGAAGAAGAAACCGCAGGTGAACCGTCTCGTGAAGGGCGTCAAGGCGTACCACGATGAGCATTACACCAACACTTGCCCGGTTGCCTCGAGGCCTCCATTGACGGGCTCGGCCATGGCCGCACGCGCCGACGTGTTCCAAGCCGCCAGCTTCGTCAACCTGCATACGGTCGCCAACCCTCACAGTGGCATGAAGCTAGTCCCAACCTTCAAGGGGTCCAACGAGACTGTTCTCCGATACAAGGAGAACCACACCTTCTTCCCCTGGACGCTGCCTACTTCGATGGTCCCGGACAACGGCACCTGCGCGGCTCTCACGTTCAAGCCAACCCTTGTCATCGAGTTTCCCTCGACAAACCAACAGGGCAGTGCGCTGAACCAGCTGTTTGCGAATACGGCAGCATTCAAGACCCTTTATGGCGCCAAGATCACCTCGCTGAACGGCTTAAAGATTACTTTTATCAAGGAGGAGTCCTTTGCGCCGAACTACGACCACACCTGGCGCGTCACGCACGTCAATCACATAGCTCTCGGCAAGGATGAGATCGTACACATCGATGGCGACATGCTCTCCGATATCAAAGACCCCCTCTTCAATCGTGTTCGCTACACGCCGTACGTCGACCTCATGATTATCTACGGAGAACCTCCCTCGGAGAACACCACAGCAGAGACCCCACTCGAAACGGTCGAAGTGGCGCTCGACGAGCACGGCAACGAGATACACCTGAGCGAGGAGGCGTCCTCGTGGCTGGAACGCGACGCCGAGGCACCGGACTCGCTCGACCCCTCCTACGGCTCCATGCTCAAGAGCCTCGTCCGCGCAGTCACCTCCGTCTTCGACCCGGCCAACACGCCCTCGCCCGACGACGGCCCCGCGGGCGCCAGCCGGCGCACGCTGCACATGGAAACCTACAAAGCCGCCCTGCCCGTCGGCATCGGCGCCGTGCCCCTCCCCGACGTCCGCGACGCGCCCCTGGCCCCGGCCACGGCGCCGGACGAGAACACGCCCGCCGCCCAGCTCCACCTGCCCTGGCACACCGTCTACCTCGCCGGCCAGGGCTGCACCGCCCGCCTCCCGGACGCCATCCCGCGCAACCACCACGTCATCGCCCTGCGCCGCGGCGGCTGCTCCTTCAGCGCCAAGCTCGCCAACATTCCCGCCGTCACGCCCACGGCGCACTCGCTCCGCCTCGTCGTCGTCGTCAGCGACCCGCACGAGGACGGCCTCGGCGACGACGTCGACGACGACGACGCCGTCTACGGCGGTCACGTCGATCGCCCGCCCTGGGACGCCGCCCATGACATTGTCAAGCCGCACCTCGAGGACGAGCAGCGCACACCTGGCGGCATGCCGCGCCACCGCCCGCTCAGCCTGGTCATGATCCGTGGCGGCCAGACGGCGTGGGAGCAGCTCGGGCGCGCGAGGGGCGTCGGCGTCCGGAGAAAGTATGTCATTGAGACCCAGGGTCGGCGGGTGGACAACATCATCGTGCTCTGAAGCACGTTGGCGCACAAGGGGGGATGCACGGATGGATGCGAGGCATGTACATATGATGAGAGGAAACCCCCCACCACATCACGTTGGGTTATCTCGTTGAGTAGGATGACGGCATGACATAGACATGAGAGGACATGAACTAGTTTGTCTTTATAATACCACTTGCATTTTTGTTTGACTTGAATGGTACCATGGCTTGCGAGAAATGGTGCGGAATGATGTGACGGCCACATCGTACTTATTAGCCTTCAGGGTACTTCAACCCATGCATGCCAACTGCTGCACCGAGAGCCGCCGCATAAATACCGCTCCACCGCCCCAACAGTCACTGTTAGAGACCAAATATCATGTGTCAAATACTGTTGAGTATTAAGCTGTCGCATCAAAACCCCGCAGCGGGAAACCCGTCAACGGGCCGTCTGCTCGAGCACAGATGCCAAAGCTAGTCTAAGATAATGCAATCATGCAGCCGCCCTCCCAAGCCAAGTTTGAATGATGTCCTTTTTGAAAATCCCTGAAACGCCGACGCAGGCCCCGCGGCGTGCGTTGGTGTACCGTGCAGCTTTCGGTGGGAAGGTGTCAGGACGGCACAAGAGCAGCCCGTGCCGCCCCCCGGAACGTAGTATGTATATGTACTCATGCTTCGATGGCGTAATTGAGCAACGGGAAAGCTTTGCGGATCACCCCTCGCTGTCATTGTAGCCCGTAAACGCGTTCAAGCGTCCTCAATGAGAATGGTAGTGTTGATACCGTCGAGCTTCTCGCGGCCGTTGAGGCCAGGAATCTCGAGGATGAAGAGGAAACCCATGATTTCACCTCCAAGCTTCTTGACAAGGTCAGCTGCCGCCTTGGCCGAACCACCTGCATCAAGTCAGTAAACAAGCCCAATTTTCGCATTCGAGGCGGCTGAGATGTGCCTACCAGTAGCAATAATATCGTCAACGATGAGCACCTTCTGGCCAGGCTTGATGGCGTCCTCCTGCATCTGGAAGAAATCGGTGCCGTACTCCTTCTGGTATTCAGCGGTCACACAAGGACCAGGAAGCTTGCCCTGCTTGCGCACGGGAGCGAAGCCCTTGCCGAGACGGAGAGCAAGGCCGGGACCAAAGAGGAAACCACGGGCGTCGAGGCCGACGATAACGTCGGGGACGACACCGCCGTAGCCTTCTTGGATCTGGAGGTGGAGAGCGGAGACGAGAGTTTCATGGGCGGTGGGGTCGAGGAACAGTGGCATAATGTCGACAAAATCGATGCCCTTCTGGGGAAAGTCGGGGAAGTGACGGAGAGCGGCCTTGAGCTTCACCTTCCCACTGGCGAGTTCGGAGGAACCGGTGGTGGCGGCGGTGGGCTGTCGTCCCTCGGCATCTTGAGGGTTGGCGGGGTTGGCGGCGACGTGGGTGATTGGCGACGCAGATGACGCGGTGGTGCCAGGGGCGATTTGCTGTTCGGCGGACATGATGAGGAGAAGAAGAAGAAGAAAAGGAAGAAGAGAGGAGGAGAGGAGGAGGAGAGGGGAAAAGTAGGCAGAAGGAGGGATGGCTGGGCCGATATGGGTTTGTATCAGAGAGAAAATTTTGGGGTCTGGGGTGGGTGGGTGTGGGACATCAGAGCCGGTGGTGGTGCTGCTGCGCGGCCAGCGAGCGGGTGTAAGGTCAGTTCGACGGCAGGCGGGCGGGCGGCGGGATTACCGTGAGGCAGAGCCAGGAGCCAGGGCAACAGGGTGGTCCTTGGCCCGGCTTTTTGCCTTATTGCTGGATAGTGTATGGCCACGACACGGTCGCCTGTGCGTGGGAGGAACAAGGCGCGTAAAATTGTCCCCGTCTACCCAGGCTGCGAGGAGATGAGCCAGACGGGACGGGACGGACAGACTGAACAGGGCAAAGCACGAAAGCAGGCTGCGAGATGGCGCAGACCGCCAGCCGGCGAGCCTGGGGTTAGCAAGTGAGCAGCGCAAAACGCAAACCAGAATTGCGCCGGCGAGGGACGGAAGACGAGCCGAAAAGGCAAGTGGAGGAGGGGTAGGATAAGGCCTAGATGGATAACACGCAGGAGGACAAGGCGAGGCGAGGCGTTCGATGACAAGGACAAGGAACGTCGGTCTAACTAGCGGACAGTTTTCTTTGTCGGTCTTTCTCTTGTCTCGGTGTATTTTTCAGGCGATTTCCTGTCTCCTCTGATGGGCAATTGGGAGAGATAAATTCGTATCTGAATCGCGCAATCCGGTGCGAACGTGAATTGTCTCCAAACCTTGAAGGTGAGGGGCAAGGGTAAGCTTGATGCTTGAATCCATGGAGGGGCGCCCTGATTGTTGGAGGGGTCGGAGGGGCAGCCCAAGCCCAAGCCTAGCATGGTCTCTCGCAGCGGCCTGCACGGGTCCGTCCAGGGTCAAGTTCAGGATCAGGTTCTAGATATGGGGTGTTGACAGTGCCAATGCCACGCCCGTCTGGCGCACGTTTGTGTGGGTGTGGTCAGATAGGCAGCGAGGCCCCTGATTGCCCTGTCATGGCGGGACGCCTAGAGGCAACTTTGTGTCACCCAGTCGACCGACAAGAAGCCGATGCCAGCAGTGGTCGTTTGCCTGCGTGGCCCGACCGGCGGTGCATCGAAGTCATGCCTTGTTCTCGCAGGCCTCGGAGGCCATCTGGACATGGCTACAGCCACGGTTGCGTGGATGGCTGAACGTGTCCAGAAACACAAGGAATACCCCACTGTGCCATGTTGCCATGCTACCGTCCTGTACAAATGAAGCTCAGCATCAGCAAGCCTCCTTGACAAGGATCTAGGTCGGTACGGCAGGGGTGGATGGGTTTTTGGGGGGGTTGCCTTGGGAGGAGGGGTTCAGGGTCCCAGCCAGCACGTTATGCGATGCGTTGCATCAAGATTGTGCTCTGGCGAGACATGTCGGCAACCGGCGGCGTACATGGGCTTGACAAGTTCCGTCAGCGGCAGCCCGCAGGTTGCACCAAATCGAATCGGCCTGGCATTATGCAGGCCTGGCTGATGTGATGCTGCATTTGTTCTTCTCTCCGACGGCAGCCGGGCAGCTGGATTGTTCGATAGAGGTTGGAGGACTGGAAGAAACTCTGAGGGGAGGAAGGGTTGAGGCTCCGTGTCATTGGAAAGTCTGTTGGAGCACGGGGCATTCAACTTTGGCGGGCGCGTCCGACACTCAGAGTAACCGCCTGCCTGCGGGCTTAGCTAAACCATCGTTCCTTCCAGAGCGACAAACTTTGGGCGTCATCATCCATGTCCTTTCCAACCTTGCCGGGGCATCAGCCAGCCCAGGCAGGAAAGGCTGACAAGAATACCGATGTCAGAATGGATATTGCCAGGAAGGAGCTACGGGGTCAGTGAGGCAGGCGGTACCACATTCACTCACTCGTGCCGGCCCCCCCCCCCCCCCCTCACCAGACGCCACCAGCAACGCCGTCATCGTGTTGCAGATGCACAAAGTTCGATCATTGCAACCTCTGGGATGCTCATCATCCTCGTATTGCTCGTTCGACCATGCCCCATCTACCTGCCCTCGAAACACCAGCCCGAGGCCAAGATGGCCAGACGACAGGCGATGAGTCAAATCTGCTTGCTGGCAAGCGGCATTTAATACCGACGTATCCGAGACGGAGTGACACGACACTCCGATGATGAATGGCATGTTGTCGGCAGGCCGGGTGTATCCATCCCCCACCAGCAGTACAGCTACCAAATACATGTTTGATGGCGGAGATACTCAAATAGACGGAACCGAAGGGCACGCCTCTGATCATTGCGCCGCAGCTTACACAGTATGCTCACGCGTTGCATCCCCTTCTCATCAAGTGCGTGGGGTCCTTTGCATCAGACAAAGCAATACCACGTCTACGTCGTTCATCGACTCTACGAATCACGGACCCGAGACGTTGCCTTTGGTACCCCGACCCCCGCGTCGCCGAGCTGGTCCCGACACGCAAAGTCGCGACGTGTTACTGACCGCTCATCTATAACATGACGAGGCCATCCTCTCAGTACAGCCCTCACCACACCCTCTTGGTGCCTCGGTGGGGTCAAATCCCACGTCGGTGGGCGCCCGCCGTCTGCGGCCTCCAGACCTCTGGCTGATATCTTCCGAAACAGCCTTCTGCCAATTTACTTTGTCATATAGCGGCGCTGACGGTCTGGAACCAGTGAGCTTGTTTTTCGTCACTCATGGCCCGGCTGGTATGCAAACACTCTTATATCCACCACTGTTCAGTGATATGACTTGGTCGGTGTCGCACTTACGTATAGTACCCGTTGCCGACCGTTTCGTGACCCTTCGGGTAGGGGCAAACCTCCTCATAAATCGCCCACAAGCCGACCCGCGCAGTACGAAGCGGCCAGCCACCAATATGCCCCCCTGACGGCAGAAACTGGTCTATCTGCTCCGACTTTGTGTCGTCCGCTCCGGCTTTCCCTGGAGCATCTCTCACTCTCGAATCCACCTTGCATCACCCTCAGCACGACATCAGCCTCGAGGTGCAGGCGCCAGTGACCCAGAAAGGAGGAGCACTTATGGAGCAGGAAACCTCCCGTCATTGCATGTTGGCTAACTACCTTGGTAGACCGAGCAAGGGCTAGGCTAGATCCGCGGCCTGTGGCTATCCAGCTACCTTTTCGGCTACTTTCACCGCCTTTGTCACGGTTCAACTTCATTGGGCCTCGCGTGAAGGGTTTGCGAGTCGACTCGCGTTGTCAATGCAGAGAGAGAGAAAGTTCAAGCATCAGAACGCGGCTCGAATGAGAATCCTAGGCAGGAGACTGGAGTAGAGGCGTGCGATCAGCACGATCATCTCGAGGCCTGGGCCCGCCTCTTCGAGCTACTCATGTCTGCCGCCCGCGTCGCTCCTGTCGGCCGGCTCAAAAGGCCGGGCGTTATGCAGCCATCCCATTCGGCAAACTAGCAATCTGAAATCCCGCGAACCGGCTCTCCTCTTCGGCCACTGGTCCGCTGGTCCTACCTCTCTGTGCTGTGTTGCACGCTTGCAGGTGGACCAGATCCGCCTGCGAGGTTACAACGCGTCTTGGATGCCAGCCCGCATACTGCAGATCAAGCCCACAAGACTCCATCGCCGTACTTTCGTAGAGAAACGTGCTAGGTTCAGCGCTGGATATCACGGTCAAGCCTGCAGAGAACAGAAAGCACTAGTCATGGACCAGGTCAAGCGAACGAGAACGTATGGCGCATTCTTTCTGTCTTGTCATTAAAGTTGGATATTTTTGCAGTGTACTATGCTCGCTAGAAACATCGCGCATGAAGGGGGTATCACTCTTTCTTCGCCTCTTCTCTTCTCTTCTCGTACCTCTAGACCTGAGTATGCAACAGGCGATGGCAGCGGTTCGAAATAAGAAATTGCACGCAACAAACGCAAAAGGGGAAGCCAAATAGCACGTAACAACGAGACCCAAAAAGCAATGCAGAACCAAACGAGACAACCGTCTTCATCTCCAACCCGCTCTTTATCGTGGTCGCTCGTGACATGAAGCCCCGGACGCCATGCAAAGTAACGCAGCCAATACTCCAGCCTGTACCTGCCCGCCTGCCTGTCAAATGTCATGGACCAGATCACATAGGTCATGCTTCAGACGGGCGTTCCGCCATCACTGCAGCTGAAACTGCAACCGGATGATGGAGAAGAGCATGTTCTGCAGGACGTGCAGCATGACAGCGACGCTCGTGGGGAGCAGCTCGGGCCAGACGGCAAGGTCAAGGCGGCCCTCCCTGCCGACGTCGACGCCGTAGCACCAGCGGATGAGCAGGCGCAGGCACAGCGAGGCGGCGAGCTCGCAGGCCCAGGTGACGGACGAGGCCCAAAAGGTGAGGCGAAAGTCGTAGCGCTCCGAGTCGTCGTCGTCAAAGTCAAAGGCAAAGTAGGGGTAGACGTCCTTGTTGGGGCCAAAGTGCAGGACGAGGACGCTGCCGAGGAAGGCGGCCATGGAGACGTTCTCGGCGAGGAACCGGATGAAGACGTTGCGCGTGCACACCTTTTGGTACGAGGCGTACGACTGGTCGGTGAAGTTGAGGGCGCGCGAGACGCGGTGCCAGAGCGGCGACATGGTCAGCGGCGTCAGGAGGATGAGGAAGCTGCTCGAGAGGATCTGCAGGAGCACGAACTGCTGCGGGGACCGCAGCCGCGCGTACAGGGCGCGCACGTAGGTCTGGTACGTGAGCATGAAGTAGCTGCGGGCCTTTCTGTCAGTTGGTGGTTTTCTTTTTCAATAGATTCCTTCCCAAAAAGGCGGAGGAGGGGGGGGGGGGGGGACAATCTCACAGCTTGAAGATCCAGCTCAGCGGGTAGCTCCCGACGCGCTCGCCCTCGCGGATGCCGAGCAGCCAGCCCGTCAGCAGGTCGAGCAAGTGCACGGTGACCACCCACCTGTAGACGTACATGATGGTCTCGAGGTTGTCGTGAGGCCAGCGTGCGGAGATATATCTCGGCGTACGCCCTCTCCTATGACGTACGCCATGAGGCCGACGAGGAGCGCGAGACAGAACCAGATGAAGCGCACAAAGCTGGCGGGAAGCCAGCGGGCTCGCAGGCGGGCCAGCAGCGGTTGCTGGTGTTGACGCTGCTGGGTCTGCCGCCCGCGGCGGCCCTGCTGGTTGCCACGAGCGTCAGGGGCGGGGCCGGCTGGAACGCGACGGGGAGGGGTGGCGCCGCCGAGGTCGCCGCCGGTCCACCAGGAGGTCGTGAAGATGCGCTGCGTGTCGGACATGCGGTTGCGGAGGCCCAGGTGGTGGCGCTGGGACGTTGTGAGGATGAGGAAGGCGATGGCGACGGGGGCAGCCATGACGATGAAGGTCCAGGCGATCCACGAGGTGTTGTGGACGGTGAGGAAGCGCGTCTCGGGGGTGAGGTAGATGGGGATCGGGAGCACGAGGGCGAGGGTGGCTATGAGTGAGATGGTGGGCAGGAAGCCAAGAGACTGGGGCCACCAGTTGAGGCTGTAGAGGTTGAAGACTTTGGTGATCCATATGAGGGCGGTCAGGTTGTAGAAATTGTAGTAGACGAAGAGGAAGAACCAAAAGTTGACGCGCACGCGAGGCTGGCCGTGGCCGGGTGTCTTGCGCGTGGGTGCATCAGAGGGAACGCCGTCGCCGCCGTGGTGATCGTTGCCGTCGCCGTCGTCGAGGAGGGGATACTGCGGGAAGGGAAGGGCGCACCATCCGATGGCCTGTACGTGGTCAGCAATGTAACAACAGTTTTCTCCGCCTCTCCCACGTCTTTCCTCGTTGACATACCAGGACGGCCGGCAGCACGACCAAAACACCATATCGACTCCACCAAACATCGACCACCCTCCTCACAGCGCCCTGCTTCGGCTCGATCCAAACATCCACCGTCTTCCTCCATATCCTCCTCCCCAACCCCGTGCCCTCGTTATGCGCGTCATCAAGCGCCGCCTGTACATCGTCGTCGTCGTCGTCGTCGTCATCATCGAGGCCGGCCGCCAAGACGGCGCCGCAGCCGACATGGACGCTCCCTCGGCCGTTCCCGAGGGCCGAAGACGGCAGGCCTAGGGCGCCATGAGAGGGCCTCCGGGCGGTGGAAGGCGGAACGGCTCGGAAGCGACCGAGGAGTGGGGAGGATTCGGGTTGGAAGCGGGCGCGGGACTCCTGGCCCGGGGTGAAGGGGAAGAAGGAGGGCATTTAGGTAAAAGGACAGAAGAGAGAGGGGGGGAGAGGGAGAGAGGGAGAGAGGGGAGGCTAGCGTGCAGCTGGCGCCGAGCGAGGCATTGGGCCGGGTTCGTGGGTTCGAGGCTGCGGGAGGACGGGCCTCGATGTCGCTGGAGGGGTCTGCTTGCCGAGACGAGGGGTTCGTGGTGGGTGTGCAGGTGGGTGTGCGGGTAGGGTGCAACGGCGACGTCAAGGTGGAAGCGAGGATGATGTCGAAATGCTGGAGTCAAAGTTCCAGTGCAGGTCCAAGCTTGGGTCGAGGTCCAGGTCGAGGTCCAGGTCGAGGTCCAGGTCGAGGTCCAGGTCGAGGTCCAGGTCCAGGGCCATGTCTGTCCAGGGTCAGGGTCCAGTGACGATTGTTTCCTGACCGACTTGCCTGACGAGGGATGGCGCTTGCGCAGGGACCAGCCTGCCACTGGGCATTCCAGGCATTCTTCCCTCTAGGCGCTACCCGCCAGTGAGGTGTCTTGGGCCTAGGTATATGACTGTGGCTGTTAGGCGGGCACGCCAACACCGCACCACCATGGCGAGGCCCGATGTTTTTGCGTCGGGAGAAACCTCGGCACTCAAAAGCCCAACGTCGCTCAGCCTCCATCCTTGATGCAAGATTCAACGGACAATGCATGAACAAGCCACAAACCCGAGTTCCAGTAATCCGCATCACGCCCCCCGGAGCTCGTGCTCTCTTTGTATTTCTGAACACCCAGGGCAACTGCCGAGGCTGGGATGGGCAGGCTCGATGCTACGATCCTCACCAGATCCTACGCAATTCCAAGATCAGCTTCTCGTCAAAACGCGGGGGGTCCGCAGCCTGGACTTGGAGTGCAACGGAGAAAGGCAGGTCGCCTGCCAGCAACAGCCAGGATCGCCATGACCTGCTTCAACCCCAAGAATCCGTCTGGTGCCAATCAACAAGAGCCGCCTCGTCTTTTGCTGTACCCATGAACACTGGGGCCAAGGAAAATGCGAAAGAGACGGCCTTCGTTGTGAAAGAGACGGCCTTCGTTGTGAAGGAGACGGCATCTGACATGTCCATACGAGTAAAAGCTGGAGCCCCGCCTAGAAGCCTGGAAGTACCATGTCCCTTGACGTCGGTAGACCCAGACAAGCGGGGTCTCATTATGCATCGTCTGCCCCTGTGGGTTTGCCCACTCGAGGAAGAGCTGTGTTCCATGTGCATAGCATCGTTCACGCGGTATCGCATCTGGAGACTTTAGCCGCACAGCAGGCTGCTTGCTGGATTTTAGCCAGACCGAGGCGAGGGAAATGATGGGCACATATAGCAGCCGAAGATGAGTAGACGACCGAGCGGACGAAAAACCCAATTCAATGTGGCAGCAGATAGGATGAGGCCCACCGGCGGCACCTCAGGACCGAGTCTCACTGGGCACGGCGTCGGGGCCAATGGACCCCCCCCCAACTTTCGGGGCAGTCGGGGCGATGGCCTGTGATCGCCGTGATTGGCGCGCCAGAACCATCTCGACGCTTGCAAAGGGGAATCGGTCTTACAGCGACCGAAGCGCACCAAAAAGAAGGTCGAGAGCCAGTACCGCTATCCGCTGCTCTTCCCCCTACCTTGTGCGCGCCCACATGTTCCGTTTCCGCCCCTACGAGCGCATCTAGCTTGACAAGCTTCGTACCCTGCGTGACCTTTGAATGTGGGGAACCCTGGCCTGTGTTTTGCTGCGTCCTGAGAATTCCCGATGGGACCGCCGCGAATGGCCGCCGAGAACGACGAGACGAGACGTGTCGGCGGCGTTGGGGCGAAACGGCCACCGAGGGGTTGGAGGGGTCACCAAAATCCTTCCCATCCAATATATAGCAAGAGATCTGACCCTCCCCCTCCTTCGGTCGTCGTCACACGGCATCGTGCCAGCCCAGCTCTGCTTCTCCTCTCCTCTTTCCTACAAACCCGTCATCGGCCCTGGGCTCCTCTGCTTCTCTACCTAACCCCCCTCCCGCCGCATCCTCCCATCCATCTCATCGCAAACCCTCCTAGCCAAGGCCGAAAGGACGCTTTCGCATCGTCATCGCGCAGCACACGGTCGGCACTATTGACGCGAATACGACGGAGAAGAAGAAAGTCGAGATCAGAAACACAAAGCAATCATGACGGCGACAAACGGTACCAACGGTCACACCAACGGCGCCACGGCCAAACAGTCCAAGAGCAACATTGGCGTCTTCACAAACCCCAAGCACGACCTGTGGATCAACGAGGCCGAGCCCTCTCTTGAGAAGGTCAACTCTGGTGAGGGACTTGCCGTTGGAGAGGTGACGGTTGCCATCAGGAGCACCGGTATCTGCGGGTGAGTTTTTCTTTCTCCCAAATACGCGGCAGCACACAGTCCGTCTGCAGTCGGATCAAAATCATGTCAAACCCAGAAAACAGAAAAAAGACTGACTCGACCAGCTCTGACATTCACTTCTGGTGCCATGGCTGCATCGGCCCCATGATTGTCGAGGCCGACCACATTCTCGGGCACGAGTCGGGCCGGCGATGTCATCGCAGTGCACCCCAGCGTCGAGCACCTCAAGGTCGGCGACCGCGTCGCCTTCGAGCCCAACGTCATCTGCAACGCCTGCGAGCCCTGCCTCACGGGGCGTTACAACGGCTGTGA